TCTGCACTTCGCAGGACCACACTCCAAGGGTGGCCATGACACCCCTGGTGGCTACATGATTCCTGCTCCCACCACTCTGGCTCCGTGGGGTACCCTCCCTCTTCTTGCCTGCTGCGCTTTGATGGAAGTACTCTGATGTTAAGGCTGCCCTTGTTGGCTCTGGCTGGCTGGTACCTCTTGTACCTGGCTGGGCCCAGTCTTGTCCCTCAGACACTAAGTTGTGGCCTCTGGCTATATCAGTGCCTCAGGGTACTAGTTGCATTATGGGCTGTATCTGTGGCTCCATCCTTCCCTGTAAACATACCCATGCCATGTTCATATGGAGGCAGCCCCCTTGTCCCAATGTAGCTTTTGGCCCTCCGGCCTTGAACTTCTGCCTGAACCTCAGCCTTCTCAGCCTTGGCCCTTTAATTCTGGCTGCTCCCCTCAGCCCAGGTCCACTGCCCCTTGGCCTAGGCCCCAGCACTTTGGGGTACCTTGGCTCCTGGGCCTCAGCCCCTTCTCATACTCATGTGGTCTGGGCCCCTGGCCCCCAAACCACGCTGCTCTCTCTGTGTAAGCCTCAGCCCCCTGGGTCCCTGACCAGGCCCCGCTCTGTGGCCTCCACACCTCCCCCATAGCCACAACCCAGTCCTCTGGTATCCAAGTCAAAACATAACATAGATTCATAGATTCACAGATGCTAGGGTCGAAAGGGACCTTAATGGATCATCGAGTCCGACCCCTTGCCAGTGGCAGGAAAAAGTGCCAGGTGCTTGTCTAGTCTCTTCTTGAAGACCCCCAAAGTAGGGGAGAGCAGGAAAGCACCACCTCCCTTGGGAGCCCATTCCAGGTTCTGGCAACCCTTACCGTAAAGAAGTTCTTCCTGATGCCCAACCTAAATCTCCTCCCTTTGTGGCCGGCGTTTCTCATTATTCCAAAGGGTGCTCTTCAAAGGTGCCCTTCCCCCTCCTCCAGAGAATTTGTATGCTGCCACAAGATCCCCCCACAGCCTTCTCTTGCAGAGGCTGAAGAGGTCTAGGTCCCTCGGTCTTTCCTCATAAGGCCTTCCCAGCAGGCCTCTAACCATATGAGTGGCCCTCCTCTGGACCCTCTCAAGGTTATCCACATCCTTCTTGAATTGCGGCGCCCAGAATTGGACACAGTACTCCAGCTGTGGCCTGACCAGTGCAGTACAGAGGGGAAGCATCACCTCTATATAACATAAATGCAAGCAAGCTGCTTCACAACTAAAAGTTGTCCTAACCCAGGGTTAATGTTGCCCACAAGCCATACCTCCCTTGGAGCCCTCTCATCTCAGCTCCCTTGAGTGGCTTGGGTGCCTGCCTGGCAGTTTCCAGCGTCCCCACTCTCCTAGGAGTTCCTCTCTGCAGCATGCAGGGGCAGACTGCCCGCTTGGCCTCAGGCACTCATGTCCCTTACTGTCCTGTGGCTTCCCAGCCACACACAGGGGTTTCCACTTTGGGTTGATTGATGGCCAGCCTGTCCTCCTTTGCTGCAGAGCCAGCTGTTCTCCCCTCTTAAAGTGACAGGAGTCTTGGCCCCTGTTACATTGAACATGTGATATAGTCAATTTTCATATATAATATTTGGGTAGTTTGAGCTTTTGGGATAAAGAGCCTCTAAAATAAGCACCTTCTGCTTCTTTTTATTTTTAAATTGAAGCTCAAAGTCTCAATGAGAATCATGGTCCCATTGTGCTGGACACTGTACAACACAGAATAAGAGACAGGAGCTTTCACAAAGATCTGGGACTTTTCATTGTGGCATTTTAAGCAAACCTTGGTGCATTGTTCTGAGAAATCTTAGAACATGGACATGCTCAAATACAGCTTTAAAATTAGTCACGTTATTTGGAGGATCACAGAACCCCTCCTCTTCCCATCATACCTGGCTTGAAGTTTCAACAGTGATCCTACCCAGTGGCATTATAGCAGCCTGGTCCCAAAGGATTCCCTTGAAATACCAAGGAGGATGAGATCACAGGCAGGTTTCCAAGCAGCACACCCATTCTCTTCTGTTGGAACCCTCTGTCACCAGTGCCCACTGCTGATGAGGCCATGCTGGGTCCCTTCACCAGGTCATCTTTCTGAGCTGGTCAAGCCATTCCCTGGCTGCTTGGGTGTCTAACATACCATCTAAACAAGCAGATGGCAACAAAAACAATTTAAAGAAACTAGAAATAGCAACTGTATGCTTCCTAACTGGTGAGTCTCAGTTGTTGGGCTGGCTAGTGCCTGCCAGGCCTCCTGCAGAGCTTGTGAACTCTGTAGTAATTCCCACAGCTTCTCAAGTACTTTTTTTTCAAGTGATAGTAGCCCCTCCTCACACCAAAGAAACTCTAAGAACAACTTGGTTAGGCTGCTGTTAAGGCGGAGAGAAAGGACTAGAAACTCAGACAGAAAAAATGCAAAAGAACACTGTAGTTATAGAAAGCATGTCAGTCCCATTAGGCACAGTTGGTGCTGGGATGGTCAGAACAAAGATGCCATGTGCCCAGTGCAGCTGCTGTAGAAACTGAAATGGTGGAAGAGAGGATGATGATTGAGTGAGCAACTCTTAGTCAAGATGTAACCGTAGAGCACAATACTCAGCATTATTGCACACTTGTATATTACTAATATAATTCTCCAGGGACACTTCCACGTAAGAGTGGATTA